GGCATATATTCATGACAATATTATAAAAGATATCATGATATTCTACATGTATGTGTGTGTGTTTGTGGAAGATTGGTCCCTCATTATTACAGTCAACGCAAGATTTACGTGTAAGTTCTCCCAACTGTTTTTTCCTTTTCTTTCAGTCCCTGATGAAGCAGAGTGCCGTCCTATCTGACTTCATGAAGAACCCCACCATCAACAAGAAGGCAAAGATCAGTAAGTTCACACATTAATTCTTTTTTGAGATGGTTAAATATAAAATTGAGTTCAGGTCATGCGATTGCATAGTGAAAGAAGCGGTGTGGAATCGATCAGAAAAAGTCGATCATGTAGAATATAAGTATTGGTGTGAACTGCAAGGTTCGGGAGTCATCAAAATGATAAGCAATTTGGCTCAGTCTTGGTAAAGTATCAAGCACTGTGAACATAAAGGAAACATTTTTTCTCTGATGTTTTCCATACTTGCATAATAACAATGATAGCGCTCACAAATAATTTTCACCTCTCCCCAGAACTCAACCTTCTCTTTAACTACTATGTTAATGAACAATTATTGTAAGTGTTCATTCAAGATACATGTTCTTTATTAATGAAATGTACATTTCAGAACACATATATCAATGATTTTCAGGGAGAATACAAATTTAGTTTTTAATGCCAAGTGGTAACCTTTATCCAATCAGGTAAATTGTTCATCTTGGACCAGGAAGGGAAGGGCTGTATGGATACAGAGTTACAGACAATCCTTTCAGCAGAGAAGTGCCATATATATGCTGGATTAAAACCAATGTGATTTCTTTTCTGTAATGTAGGTGTAATATCTGATGTACTGAAGGGTGAGAAGATGGCCGATTCGACGGTCAACTTCTTTGGCATGCTAGCTGAGAACGGTCGACTGAACAAGGTCAAAGAGATCTTTGTGGCTTGGACTAAGATCATGGCAGCACACAAGGGAGAGATCATCTGCAAAGTCACAACAGCCAAGGTGAGTTAAAGCCCCATTGTACTACTTATAGCTACTTGCTCCCTCTATAGAAAACTTCCCCAATCGGTGCCTGTTGGTCCCGAATGATCATCTTTTTCATATGTTAATTGAGAGATGAGCTGATGAGATGGCCACATGTCAGTGACCTTACTGGGTGGTCAAAATCCTTTCTGGCTGAAACTAGTACAGATGGCCTTTAACATCATTGTTGGCTTATGTCAGCAATGTGCACAAATATCCACATGTGGAAGGTGCTGTATGTATGTTAGGTCTTTTAGAATGATCATTCCCAATGGCTTCATGGATAGATTTCTTTTTCCCTTTCAAAAAGTATTACCCCCTCCCCACCCCCCCCCCCCCCCCCCCCCCCCCCTCCTGGAAAGGAAAAATAATGTCTATCACTGTTTGCATGTGTTTTTAATCATTATGACCATGACAAAATTGTCTATCAAAGCCCTCGAAGGTGAATTCATGTAAAGCTTTGCTTGAAAAAAACATGTAACAAATTTTATCTCCTTTCTCGTCAATATCTATTTTCTTTCCATGAATAATGACAGAGCAACCCTTTTCTTTAAAGCTTCCCACTTTCCAAATCAAAGATTTTGTTTATGGTCGCATGAAAGCAGTTGCTTACTTGACGTACTTGTACACATATACATGTACTGACGTATGCATCAATGGTTACTTCTGTTTTCATGTGGATTAAAGATAATGTATTGATAATTGAATGAATTGATGATTGAATGTTTTGATAGTTGAATGTATTCATAATTGAATGTATTGATAATTGATATATTGATAATTGAATGTATTCTTAATTGAATGTATTGATAATTGAAGGTATTCTTAATTGACTGTATTGATGATTGAATGTATCCTACCCAATGCTTATTTCATGATAGACATTGGATGCAAGTCAACAGAAGCAGGTCCAAGAAGCTCTCAAGGCTTTCATCAAGAAGGGAGAATCATTGCAGCTCAACCTCACTGTAAGTACTCGCTCACACACATGTTGTAACAGCAGTAAGGCGTTAACAAAAAAGATGTTGTATTGCCCTTTGCGACCGACCCAAAAATCTTGAAATCTACGGTCTTCAATATGATCATCACTAAGTGTATAATATGTTAAGAGTCCACGGTATGGTTGATGACTTAACATGTTCCTTTAAAGATCTTTAAAAAAAGAAAAGAAAAATGGTGGGGGAGTGGTAATTTAGGTAATACTTAATCCACCTTTCCAAAATGATAGCAATATGGGAGAACCAGTTTACATTTCATTTGGAGATCTATTGATTTCATTCAAGCCAACTATGATAGCTTCATCAGGAGCGTCCGCCTCACAACCGGGACGTCATGGGTTCGAACTATGGCTGCGTCATACCAAAAGACGGGAGTTGCTGCTACATGTACCTTGTTTGGCGTTCAACAATAAGGGATAGAGCAACGTTGATCTGGTGCTGCTCAGTGGCTGCCTGGGTCACGATCAATTGGGCAAAAAGAAATTCCATTTTCGGTTTAACTTAATAAAATTTGGAGCGGACTTTAAAAGATTATTATTATTATTACACTAATTATTTTATCCCCAATCCTCTTTGTTTGATTGCAGGTGGACCCAACATTGATCGGAGGGATGATTGTAGAGGTCGGTGACAAGTACGTTGACATGTCAACCGCATCCAAAGTCAGGAACCTCACAAACCTCATCAAAGAAACAGCATAACCTTTGACCTTTCAACCCCTCCCTGTAAATGATTATTAGAGAGTTTATAGTGATAAAGTGTGTATTCCAGGTACGCAATGTGGGATGACTTGCTTGGGGCGGATGTTATACTCCATGAACGAAGGGGACATTTAGAGTAGTTTGATACCTGCAACAATTGAACATGTGTTCCTATGTACTTCCTTGTTGTATTAAATTTACCAAGCAAGAGTGCAGGACCTTTTAAAAGCACCCAATTCCAAATCACATAAGAGTCTTTAAGAAGACTGATATTGATGTTTTGTGGATCACAATATGTGTGATATTAGCTTTGATGTGTATGTGTTCACATACAGATTTCACTTCACTTACCAACTTCTGATCTCAATCAACAGTTTGGATTGGAGATTTATTTATGTCACTGTAACACTTTGCCGCTATGACATGATGTGGGGTATTTAAAGAGCTTTGCTGGAACTATCCCATACTTTTGTGTATCTTTGAATAGAGAATGTAATAAATACAATAAACATTTGATGAATATGATGCTTGATTTTGTTGATTTTGATTTTGATTTTTCAAATATTTTGTGAATTACTGAAACACTGCAAAGTAATGTATATGGAGGAAGAAGCATTACGTTGAAGGAAATTGGGCATCAAGTAAAAAAAAAAAAAATAGCCTTCAGACTGGAGTTGCTACCTGTAAACAAATCATATACATGTAGATCTAGTGTTGTGATAAATACCATTAGGAATTCAACATTTAGTTTGCATGTAAGAGGGTTAAACCAGAATACCCGAGTTAGAAAAGATAAAGGGGGAAGTGAGTGAGAGAGAGAGAGAGAAAGAGATGGGGGGGGGGGAGCAGCGAGAAGGGGAGGAAGAAAGAATCGGACAACGTAAGATGAGAGAGCATGAGAGAGAGATGAGATGATTTGACAGGGACTGCAATAGATTTGACTGCAATATTCAATTCAGTTCATATTTATTTCATTTCCAACAGAATTTGAAAGATAAACGATATAAATGATTTGCAATTCCAAAGTCTAAGATTCTGCAGTTTGGATAAAAAGCAAGCTGCAAATGAATGATTTGCAATTCCAAAGTCTAATATTCACTAGTTTGCATGACCTTTAGCCAGGTGATCATAAGGTAGCATAGACATCATGGAGGAATGCAAACCACGTCTAACATACTTTGCAGGTCGAGGATTTGGTGAATCTATTCGCCTGGCCTTCTCTGCAGCGGGAATCGAAGTAAGTACCCTAGCATCAGACAGCCTTCATTCATTAAATGCACTGTTATTATCAACTCATTAGCTATAGCTCTGTTATCAAAGTCTTATCCATTCATTGCTTGAAATGATATCATACTTGGGTTGATCCGAACTCGGTCTATAGATATAAGAGCAGGTAACATACCCTTCTTCTTGACCTCTTTTAGTGATGATCAGAATGACATTTTTTAAAAGATATTCCTTTGCCAAAGATCGATTAGAGGGACAACTGTTTCATTTAACTTGGTTTACGATTGTTGGTATAATTTTTACGAATGAGAATTTACATTTTAACTGTTTTCAAAATATGTATATTTACAGTATATTAGTATAGTTATTATAGTATACTAAAGAGACAATGGTAATTATAATAACATTCATACATAATTCCTTGCTGATGTAAACAAATACAAAATAAAATCGTAGGGATTTTGAAGATGTAGCTGTACCATCATGTCTGCCTCCTTTATAGATATCCATTGTTTTGACTTTTCAATTTTTCAGTATGAAGACGCGTACCTCGAATCGAGAGATCAGTTTTTGCAGTTGGTGAATGGTAGGTGCGATCACACCTGGAGCAGGGTGTAAGATAATTTTGAAGGGAAAAGAGAGAAAGAGAAAATAGAGCAGGTAATGAGAGAGGAGTTGAGGTATCAAGAAAGAGATAAATGGGGCCCGAGGGGGCGGGGATGCATGCACGTCGGCTTGCTTCAAACTTCAAATGTATAATGTTGGATACGCAAGTGGAAGGGGATGGAGGGATGGGGAGTTCTACAGATAATAGATGGATGGAAAGATTTAGATAGGTATATAGATAGATAGATAGATGGGGAGAGAGAAAGATAGAGAGAGGGAGGGAGAGAGAGTGAGTGTGTATGTGTGTGTGTGTGTGAGAGAGAGAGAGAGAGAGAGAGAGAGAGAGAGAGAGAGATTGAATGGGGGCGGGGGCGGGGCGCTGACGTGCAATCGAGTGGCACCATAATCTCCTCATTCGTGCAGAAACTATAACGAGAGAGAGAGAGAGAGAGAGAGAGAAATTGCATGAGATCGAGAAGGCACTGTTGTATTATGTTAGCTATATAGATTCTTTCGGTAGCTTTTTGGGTCGAGAAATAGCTAGGGAGGGGGCGCTGAGTCATCCCTCAAGACGAGAGATGGAGGCAATTTTTTCATTATGATATATATTGACACGCCGTGAATTTTTGTGTTTTCTCCTTTGTAATATGAGAAAGAAAAAGAAAATCTATTTTCTTCTATATAGATGGGAAGCTAATGTTCAGGCAGATGCCCCTACTAGAGGTAGACGGTCAATGTTTGATCGGTAGTGAAGCCATTCTCAGATATGCATGTCGAAAGGGAAACTTGAATGGAAAAACAGACCAAGACAAATACAGGTAAGAAAATGCTGTTATTGATTATTTTGTTTATTTATAAATTAATATTTCTTTACTTGACCTTTGGTGACGGTAGCTTTCCCCATTATTTTAAAACTCCTCAACATTTGAGGAACCACCTCTCCCATTATTGTTTAAATGCTTTAAAATGGCTGCAAAATATATCCTATCAGCGATGCCAGCGTGTCAGCAAGAAATTGTTTTTGTTCTCTCAGTGTCTCAATATACAGCTGCTCTTTTTTATGTTATAGAATCTCTGTACACGAGGTAAAGTTGGTCTGATACTTTCATTTTTACATGTATATTGAAGAAAATTGATTGTAGACATTCAAAGTAAACATTTCCCTTTCCCTCTTGCCTTTTTTGTATAGATTTTTGCAATGGTTAATTATCGAATACCATAATCTTTTTTCTTTGACTACACTTTCCTGAAAATGTCTGCCATAGAATTGACATGCTTTCAATGGGTGCGAAGGATATGGCGTTTCCTAGCCTCATGTCGCCAATCTTTCTAGAGGTACAGTTCACCAAGGAAGCAGCTGATAAAGCCAGTGAAAACGGTATCAAAGAATGCAGAGAACGCTATCTACCAGTCTTCGAAAAGGTACAGAGATAGAGAGAACAGGGAGAGAGAGAGAGAGAGAGAGAGAGAGAGAGAGAGAGAGAGAGAGAGAGAGAGGGGGGGGCATGCATCGGTTTGGGAACCTATCAAATACATTGTACCTTGCTTAAATATTGGTTTTATAATGATATTCTCTCTAAAGTATCTATTCTTTCTTTATCGTACCGAATGTTATAATCAAAGATTATTTTTGGATACCATTGAACTCCTCATGTTCACCTCATGTCCCTTTCTTATCTTTTTTCGACCCTTATCATAATGGACACCTCATCCACCAGGTTTTAGATGAGAGTACATCCGGGTTCCTGGTAGGAGATTCAATGAGCAGGGCTGATATCATGCTGTTCGATGGTCTCTGCTATCTTCATGAAGATCCTAAACTCGAATCAGAACTGCAGAATTTTCCTCGCTGCTCGGTGAGAGCCTTGATCTTTTGGGCAAAATCTGTGCAAACAATAGTGCTGCTAGTAGAAGAAACTGATAATTGTTATATAATATAGGCATTCATGTCCAACATTCATGATATACATAATTATGAGCCAATGTCATGTTTCGACACGATATTAAAATGAACAGACAAAACAGCAATAACACAGGCCATCACCGACTATATACAACAACATTGACGTGTTGTATGTACAAGTTTTGGGGCAGTGAAAAATTGTTATCTGGCTTTCCAATACGTTAAGACAAGAGTAAAATCAAATGCGATGAATTTGAGCGGCATTTTATTGAAGTAGGATTAAAAAAAAAAAAATTTATGAAGAACCGTAAAAATTTCATATTACAGACACTATATTCCTTACTTGTCATTATCTAAACGTTGAAAACAACATCTTTCTGTAGGCTTTCATTTCTCCAAGCAATCTGGCATCAAGGAATACCTTGCCAGTCCTCGTCGAAATGGCTTACCAGATCTGGAGTATACCAAACATTGCTGTCGAATTCTCAACCTGCCCCTTGCCGGAAAATAAACTACATTAAGCATGTAAAAAGGAGGGGAAACAAAATGATGTCACTCAATAGAACAATTAACTCTGTATGCTGTTAATGGTTTGTTCTGTTGGTGTTCTCCGGCTCTCTCTTTCTCGTCTCCCCTCTTATTTCTCTCTACCCTCTCTCATCAATCTACCTCAGGGAAAAGAAATACTTTAACAATTTTGGGGGCTACTTTTCAAGCTTGCTTGCACGAAAATAACACTCTTTAATTTGTTTTGCATATTGAAATCTATGCACATTTTTTTTGGCTCTTTTATGACTTTCAGGGGCTAATTCGCCCCGAGCCTCCGTGTATTTGTTTCACTGATCTACCTCTCAGTACCTACATGTATAGTATGTTTATATCTTTGTACATGAATCTGCGCGAAGCTTGTTATGCTGAAAATGTATTTTTTTTCAAATACAAAATAGAGCCGAGCTGATCACTGCCAATTGAGCTTTACTTGGTAAATCTATTTTTGTAATATTCAGAATTATGAACCAAAACTACTCATATTGTTAATAACTATTCATATTTAGATAATCTGTGTGTAATAAAATACAAGTCTAGACTTAGAGGTGAGTTCAAAGGTGCCATGCAGATTTCTCTCCCCCCCCCCCCCCCCCCCCCCCCCCCCCACGAAACAAAAAACTTGGGATAACATCCGAATCTGTCCTATGTTGCTTGAAAACAAATTCAAGCACATTGATTATCACTATGATTCTACTTTGTTCAGTATATTGCTTATATTTAATCCGGAAAGACATGTATAGATTCATCTGCATCAGATGCCAAATTACAAAGCTACCTGGTATATTTCACTGGGTTTTCGTCATCACCAGCATCATCATTATCCATGTTCTTGATAATCACCACCACCATCATCATTATCCATGTTCTTGATAATCATCACCATCATCATCATTATCCATGTTCTTGATAATCACCACCACCATCATCATTATCCATGTTCTAGATAATCACCACCACCATCATCATTATCCATGTTCTAGATAATCACCACCACCATCATCATTATCCATGTTCTAGATAATCATCACCATCATCATCATTATCCATGTTCTAGATAATCACCACCACCATCATCATTATCCATGTTCTAGATAATCACCACCACCATCATCATTATCCATGTTCTAGATAATCATCACCATCATCATCATTATCCATGTTCTTGATAGTCACCACCACCACCATCATCATTATCCATGTTCTAGATAATCATCACCATCATCATCATTATCCATGTTCTTGATAATCACCACCACCATCATCATTATCCATGTTCTTGATAATCACCACCACCATCATCATTATCCATGTTCTAGATAATCACCACCATCATCATCATTATCCATGTTCTTGATAATCACCACCACCATCATCATTATCCATGTTCTTGATAATCACCACCACCATCATCGTTATCCATGTTTTTGATGATCACCACCATCATCATCATTATCCATGTTCTTGATAATCACCACCATCATCATCATTATCCATGTTTTTGATGATCACCACCACCATCATCATTATCCATGTTCTTGATAATCACCACCACCATCATCATTATCCATGTTCTTGATGATCACCACCATCATCATCATTATCCATGTTCTTGATGATCACCACCATCATCATCATTATCCATGTTCTTGATAATCACCACCACCATCATCATTATCCATGTTCTTGATAATCATCACCACCATCATCATTATCCATGTTCTTGATAATCACCACCACCATCATCATTATCCATGTTCTAGATAATCACCACCACCATCATCATTATCCATGTTCTTGATAATCATCACCATCATCATCATTATCCATGTTCTTGATAATCACCACCATCATCATTATCACCATCACATCATCATCATCATCATCTTAATCGTATTCAGCTAGATCAAAGGCGATGCACACTTTTGTATCATCAAAACAGAAACCTGTTGATGTACTTTGCATTTCCCAACATTCTCTTCACATTTCTATTTGATTTTTTTATTTTTGTATTTGTATGTTTAATTCTATTTAAAGCAAGAATATAATTTGGAGACAAGCCAATTTGATGCAACATGTGTTCTGACATATGTAGTTCTATTCTTTATTCACAATGTAAATGACAAGTCTTATCTACAATAAATATATAAAATGTATACCAAAATGTCGTACGAGTGTCTATATTGATTGTAGAGGGGTCAATATTATACTACTACATGTACCCATGTAGAAATCTGGCCAGCAACGCAACAAACATTCAGATATCCCATCTAATGTATCAATTTTACAATTTGCATCTCTTTGGGATGTTATGATAGTTTCTAGCAACAGGCTAATATGATCTTCAAAGCAGAAATGGTTGAAGAAAAAGAAAGAAAAACAAATAAGAGAAAACAATCAAGTAATGGATAAACATTAAGTGATGACCTGTAAAAAGTGAAAAGCAACAATGTACAGACAAGCTGAAAACTAATTCATGTAATCACAAACACACAATACACAAATACAAGCAAAACTGCACTACAATGGAAATAAATAGGTCCAACATAATACACACACATCTGGATTCTCTACCAAGTATATCAGTGCACCAGGAGGAGGGAGCTAACACACTTTGTGGGAAATGTTTTCATTGTTTTAGGTCTGTCATGAATGGATGAAGATGGAGAAGTTTCGACCTATCCCTGTGAACTTTTTAACCATAAATGAAACAAAATTTACAAATAACTTCATTCTAAAAATGTATACCAGCTGACTATTGCTGTTTCTGTAGTTGTCATGATTGTTGGCATGCAAGATGTCAGTTGACAATGTGTTTGACAGAGCTCCCCACGAGGAGGTCTGGTTGACACAATGAGAACAGAAACAGTAATTTAATCAGAACCTGACTTACACAACTCAGTGGCTTTTTATCTATTTTACACAATGATGATCAAAGTCTAAAACCCTGATAAATACTAGCCTGGCAAGAGAATGACTATGAAATACTGAATGACACTGTATTATGGAAAAAAGTGCTACAGAAATATAATGTGTGAGAGTGAGACAAAGACGTAAGGTGAAATTCTAATTTCAATTTCTCTAGAAATTCAATGGATCATGAATTTGCTATATAATTCTGCATTTGTTTTTCTTTTGTTTCTTTTTAAATCCAAATTGTAATTTTTTTCAAATTTGTTACATTTTTAGATGTGGTGATTTTCTTAAAAATTATTATACGATACGATTGGTCCACTTGTATATCTTTAACATAAAATACTTTATATAATACTAAAAGTGTAGTACATTGCATTTGTTACTCTTTAATATTAACACTATCAAAGTGAATCACTAACATCCATGTACATGTATAATAACAAACAATTTTTTAGTCAATGGCATGATTTAAATTGAGTTGTACAGGTTACAGGTTATAATCCAATACTGAGCCAGCAGTAAACACATGTATTACAATTGGTCAAGTACTTTCTTTGGGTAATAAATTAAATCTTTAATTGTTTAATAACATGTACCTGTAAAATCTATTTTTAAAATCTGACCATTCCACAATTGCACTTTTGTTGACAGTCATGAAATTAGTGAGATATGTTTATGCCTACAATAACATTTGTTTTTTAAGAGCCCTCACTTCTAATATGCACTCTCTTAAAAATTAGATATTTTTTTTTTTTTTTTGCAACACACTGTTTATGCACATAGACTATTGAATGCTAAATTATCTGTCTAAATACAGTGGAACCTCACTATAACAGGCGCGTAGCCAGGGAGAGGGGGGGGGGGGTGGTGGGGGCAGTCGCCCCCAAAAAAACGCCGGCCCAAAAAAAAAAGAGAGAGAAAAAGAAGAAAAAAAGTAAGAGGACGTAGGAGGAAAAAAGGAAAAGGAGTCGAGAATGGTACAAGGAATCGTCTTCTTTCTCTAATAATTTAATGAAACGTGAAAGCTTCCGCGCTTTGCGCGGAAAGGGGGAAACCGAGTTCACATTAAGGATCAGGAGTCGGGAAAGGTACAACGAATCGTCTTCTTTGTCTAATAATACGTCAAAGCTTCCGCGCTTCGCGCAGGAGGAGGGAGGGGGGGGGGACTGAATTCAGACAAGGATTAAAAGTCGAGAAAGGTACAACGAATTGTCTTCTTTCTCTAATAATTTAATGAAACGTCAAAGCTTCGCGCGAAAGGGGGGGGGGGAACAGAAATCAGACAAGGATTAAGAAGTCGAGAACGGTACTTTGAGTCGTCTTCTTTCTCTAATAATTTAATGAAACTTCAAAGTTTTGCGCGGGAGGGGAGGAAACTAAATTCAGATAAGGATTAAGAATCGAGAAAGGTACAACGAATCGTCTTCTTTCAAAACCCCCCCCCCCCCCCTCCCTGCACCCACCACCCTAGGGAGCGCGCTGTGCACGCTCTTTAAGTGATTCGCGTGCTCACTACCGCCCCCCTAAAATAAAATCCTGGCTACACGCTTGCATTATAAAGAGCTCCGATATAACGAGGTATCTGTTATAACAAGGTGACTTTGCTGGTCCCAGCTCTTTATATTCTTTCATTTTCTACCTTAATATAACAAGATTCCTGATACAACAAGGTAAAGTCCTAAGGACCTCGTTATCATGAGGTTCCACTGTACGAGTACATGTATCTCAATTATATGGCTTCTCATCCTTCATGAATCTACATGGATACTATAATTAGTACAGTAATTGCATTTGTAGGACTTCTATGCCTTTCCAAAATATACATATATTCAGTATCTAACACTCGAAATAAACAACATGGGTAGTACTTTCTAAGAAGTGATTCAGTCTCAAGGTAATACAGTATGTTTACTACTTGTTATC